TAAATTTTGCTGACCTCTCCAATGCAAATGGTGTCTCATTGAAAAGGTTTACTGGTACTTGGATATGACCAGCATTGTGTCTGTCAATACTGACTTAGCCTAGTTTGTAGAACAATATCCTAGACCATCTAGAATGGACACAGCATGGGTCAGAGGCGGATTCCTGCTGCTTAATGGATCTAGTATGGACGTGACTAAAGTTCCCACTTTATTTCACAAAACGTGAGCTTGCATCAACAAGTTATTTTATATACTAGTCTAATGTAGCCATCTGTATTGTGTACTCGTTGTTTGAATGGGTGCAAAAAACAATTTGGAAAAATGTTTTTGCACAAGACCTTGAAACAGGCCCGTTGGCAAGAGCCCCCCCCCACCAACAAAAGTCCTACGCATCAAAATTATAGACTGTTCTGGTGATGTGCCCTGTAACTGGTCCTGTAGCCCTCCTAACGCCCAAAAGCTGGGGATGGGGTCCCCCTGTTCCTACCTTGTTGGGTCTTGTTCTTTAGTGAATGCTGCATGGTGGAGGGTAATGGTGTTGTTTCTGGTAGCCGAGAGGTAATAGCTTAATGTCACCTGCTCAAACCCAGCAAGGAGATGGGGGAAAAAACGAAGATTATTATCAACAACAAAAAATCTGTCACTTCAAACAACTTGTGTTACCTAACCTTACTCCCCAAAGGTGTTCAAAACATGATATTGAAAATAAAACTTGGATTAAAGCATTTATGAGGTTTCATTTTTGAAGCGTTTCTCCAAAGATGTTTTCAGAATGGATGCTTTTGAGGCAACATACCATCACAAGCGACTAAGCTTAGTGTTAAAACCAATTTATGAACTTTTGCTGTTGAGTCAATTCACTGGAAATGAAAGCAAACACACACAGGCTCGGGAGACAAGTTTATCTTCATTCCTTGAAAGAACACAAATTATCAGGATTGTGATAAAAGCCAGCAGCTCAATAGGAACTGTGCTTGTAAACATGGCGTACAGTACAAATTCAGTTACCTGTTTGGGTAACTTGGACTCGTCAAATCTACTCAAGCCTTGTAGATGTGAGTTGAAAACATCCAGTCTAGTAAGAGGTACCTTCAGAAGACCATCTGCAACATTTAAACACAATGTAGTTTTAAACAAGGACAACCAACCAAATTTAAACAGAACATGTAAGAGAAAAATCTTTACAGTACAGAGTGTCTGCTGATATAAAACTGTGACATGCTCTATGAGTAAGGAATCAAGGAACATCCCACATCTGATTCATGAAAAGTGTCCAGGTTAAAAAAAAAAAGAAATTAAAAACTGAAAGACCGACATTATCAGGTGCGAGGGCAAAGTTCATCACAGACAAATGTGTACTACAATTCACAGCAAGGGATGTTGTTTAGGGTAACCTGTGTTTGTCTATAAGAACACACATAAGACAGAGTTCCACAATCACACATCCCCTCTATTGGCACCCCTGAATCAAATCCGACCAGCAATCAAGCCAATCCCCCAATACCTCTGCATATTCACAGCTCTCTGGACTATGCATGTGTTGGACAATACTAATGTAGACCTAGTCAGTTAAATACCAAAGCACCTAGGTAATGATTTCACATACTTTTTTTAATACATATCTTGCACAGAAAACAGGGTTTTCCTACGAATTTCTTAAATGGTAAGTGTAAGTGTTCCTTACCAATAGCAAATCCCATGGATACATCATCTGGTAGGCGGACTCTGCTACAAAGGTTTGTAAACTGGCCACCACTAAGAAGAAAAAATTAAATCCTTTAGTCTCATTACAACCTTGTCCTGATCTTCATACAGCATTTGAAATATGTGTTCCTTGAATAGCTCATTTGCTCCACATCCCATTTATTTAAACAGAAAACACATGTGTTTCATCCAAGGACTCCCGATATTCAATCAGAATCTAGTACAGATCTGTCGTACGGCAGCGATCTTGGAGGTGTATCCCTTTGCTCCAATGGGATATGCACTACTGGTGAATTAACATAATCAAAATGACCTCCAATATGGCTGCCACATGCAAAGGGTCAATATGTACATGTCAAGTACTAATCACAGTCTTGAGAGAAAGGGTATTATTCTTGGAAATCATGATTTAAAGAAAGGATCAGGTATCTGTGGACACACCTTGCTAAGGGGGCCATTTTTAATGCTAAACTTTTACTGATACAGAAGCCCGCTCCACCGGTAGCAAACCAGAAGGAGGTCTCTGCCTGCACAAGAAGAAAGGAGACAAGGGATTTTAGGTCAGGAATGAGCAGATTCAGTGATCAACAAACTCTCGTCATTCATCCTATGGGTCTCAAGCTGGACCAAGAGAGGGTGCTATTTTCTTAGCAACACAGGCTCCTTTGGGCTCCTTTGGTAATGAACTGCACTTTGTTGGTTCATGAACGACTATGAAATGCACGTGTCACGGTCACATTGCTAGGAACGAAATGAAAGCTCCCAACCAACGCTTCTCTTTCCACCAATATCAGGGTGCTTCTGCTCAAGGCAGACACCCCAAGCATCTTTGCAAGCCACTTCCCTGAAACTTCCAAAATTTCCATTGAGGAGGAACCAAATGGCACACTGGAGAAAAGCCGCAAGACAAAAGGCACAAATCCTAGCAGATTTGAAGGGTCTGGAAGGTTTAGGCTTTTATACAATAAAGTACTCTCACTACTGAAGGGGAGGTGTGGTACAACACTCACTTCAGAAGGGGAGGTGTGGTACAACACTCACTACAGAAGGGA